CATCTCTTGCGAGTATTTCGGCCTCGTCAAACTTGAAAATATGGCCGGTTCCCGTCAGGTGAACTGCAAACAGAGGAGTTGGCATTTTTCTTCCTTGCCGCCGCTGCATGCTCGGCCATTCGCGTCCAGAGTAATCTCCCGGTATCTCCGACGTAGTTGCATCGTCCACAATTGCACCAGCTCCGGTAAACAACTCCAGTCGTTTCGTGTTGTGGCAGTGGGTCTTTCGGTCTCATGACCCGGCGCCTCATGGTTGCTTGTGGCCTGTGCGCAAGTTTCGCGCAATTATCAATTATCCAAAACGGGCAAGGACATCGCGGCAATTGCTGAGTCGAACGCGGAGTGTCAAGCCGTCACCGCACCAATTAAGACCCAACCGGTGGCCACGCTGATGACCACTACGAACTATAAATACCGTGCAATCTGTGCATTCTTCAATCTTATCTGCGCATGACTCCGATCATCCTACATTACGTATGATTAAGGATTCTTGACGGAATCCGAACCGTCAGGAAAATAAAACTCTTGTTCCAGTGATCGCATTCACTTCTCCTGAACTGCTTCCTGGAACTTGCATAATCACTTTTATTGGCAATAACGCCATTGCATTTTCGAAGAATTTTGGAGCTTCATCTCAAGTCTAATTTGTTTCGAAAATTCCTCATTAAGGCATGGAAAGTAGAAAAATCCTAAACCCAATGTTTTTTGCCTTTCGTTGGTCGAATTATTCCGGTTAACTGCTGGTAACTTGTTCCGACACTGTGTCTGCAGAACAGTGGTTACTGACAACGCTTTGACCTGGAGCTACAGACGTAAAACTTTCTAAGGTCCCACGTCGGTTTTTACTCTATAAACGTCTCCAAACTGACAGCGTACATTTAAGTACTTACCTAGGGAAGCGTCCTGGATTTAGCCAATGACTTCAAAGAAGCAGAAGTCTGTGTGTATGAGTTATTCACAAGCGAGTCAAATGAAGTACTAAAATCTGCCAAAAATCACC